ACCAATGATTTCCTTAACTTCCTTTAGTAATTGATCAGTTTTTGCCGCAGTAGCTAAAAAGCCGTTGTCCACATTTCGCTTCAGCTCTTCACTACTGCTGTTCATGCCTTGCTGGTTCTTTTTGAGATGTGTAATGTCGCCTTGCATTGACTGTACATTATCTTTTACGTTGTCCACAAAAGGAATCATCTCTCCCACAGTAATTGCTTTTTGGGAGTTTCCGCTAAAAATAATTTTGGGTCAAACTTCTGTCTGGAGGTTCCTGCGCTCTTCTTATGCGTTTTTGCATAATATGCACATATTGTGGCGACCCCGGTGTGTGTGTGTGTGTATGCGTGTGTGCGTGTGTGTCTGTCCGGGTATTTCAACTCGGCACCTAAGCAGCTCCAGCACCAAAATTTTGGGAGTAGGTTTCCCGACCAAGTGCCATCCCAGGGCCGCGGTACCAGCCCTCAGGCACGTCTAGGCCCCGCGTACGAGCGCCTCAAAGTTGTGGCGGGAAAATCGTTAATTCGAGAACCAGAAAATCTAGAAGCTGAAATTTTGAATCATATTTCCAGCCCAAGTAGAACTCAAGGATTTCAAATTCAGCTCCCGGGAGTTTTAGTTCCCGCGTACGGCCCCGTGAGGGGTTCATGGCGCGAAAACCGCTAGCTCGGGAATCAAGAAAGCTTGGAAGCTGGAACTTTCAGGAAACGTTCCCAACTCATCTACAACCTAAATTCATCAAATTCAGTCCCCCGTTATGCGTGGTTGCCACGTACAGCCCCGTGAAAGTTTTTGGCGGGAAAATGGCTAACTGCCTAACCAGAGAATCTGAGAGGCTGAAACTTTCAGAAAATGTTTCCAACTCATCTACAACTTAAATTTACCAAAATGTTTCCAACTCAGCCCCCCATTATGAGTAGTTGCCACGTACGGCCTCGTGAAAGTTTTTGGTGGGAAAATGGCTAACTCCGAAACCAGGGAAGCTGGGAGCCTGAAACTTTCAGGAAATGTTTCCAACTCATTTACAACTTGAATTTACCAAACTCAGCCTCCTCAATGTGCATGGTTGCATATACGGCCTCGTGAAATTTTCTGGCTGGAGTTTGGGTAGCTCGGGAACTGAGAAAGCTGGGAACCTGGAATTTCAAGGGAATGGCCCCTGTCCAAGTATAGCGTAGATAATTAACTTCCCTAAATTCGAGGACCAGTGTGTACAAGAGGTTTCTAGCTCGCGGAATTTCGAGTGATCTTATTGCAGCACGAAACACTGCATGATAGCACTGGCACGCCCAGTGCGCGTCGCCAATGATTTTTAGCTGATTTCGTTTTCAGTGACGAATAGTCTAAACACTGTAAATGCTGCTGAACAGCCTGATTTAAAATCAAAGCGATACATAAGATACGTGGTTCTCAGAATTGTTTCTGCCCCAGAAAATTTCTTTCTTTTGCCTGTAACAGTCACATCCACTCGCTGCTACCAGCAAATGTTTTTGACATATGTGGTTGAGGTATTACGGTGTCGTTGTGACTAAGCAAGAAGGAAGCGCGAAGCATGGTTTTATACAAAGTTATTTTAATTTAGCAAAAAAAGTAAGAAAGTTGAGCATCAATACGATTGAAAAGGCCTGGTCGAAGACTGAAGGAATCTGCAGACAGTCTGTTGAGTGGGGCAGTCCATTGGTCGAAGCCGAAGACTTGGGCGTTAAGATGACTGGGGCGGTTCGAGGAGGCTGACGATTTGTAGGCAAGCCTAGAAGTGAAAGACGAGTGAACTGGACTGGATCGATCCTGAATCGACGACCCAAACCGAACCCAGGACCCGGAATAGGGGAAAAGAGGGTTTATGTAAGGAGACAAGGAGCCATCCCTGAGAGAAGGTGCCCTACCACACCTACTTTGTATTCCAGCTGGTACAGCTGAATACAACAGAACTGTTAAATTATGCGCATGGGAAATTGGCGTACCAGCTTTTCTTATGTAATGCCGCATGCAAAATTAGGTGGTGTATAGGGACTGGTTGCATTAGGGCTGGGAAAAAATGCTGGAGGGGAACAAAAAGATAACCAGCATAATATTTTATTTTAAAGAAATAAAAGAATTTTTAGAATATTTGCAATAGCCCATTACCAGCCTATGTGTAACTATTTCA